AAGTTCATTACAGACTAAATGGATCCAAATCGGGAACACGGACTCATGCTCACGATTTCTGTGAAATCAACGGTGTGGATCATCTCTGAATCTTAAACACAATCTTTCATACACAACATGAAAGCAAAGCCAGGCGGTGACCAGCGTCTGTTATCAGTCCCATCAGTTTTATGTCAGACAGAAGAGGTCAGAGAAGACTCCATCAGGGTTCCTTCAGCCGGCGGCGCTGACTTATCGTCTTATTCTACAAATGTGAAGCAAAGTGAGTTTGTCTGGGAACCTTCAGAGCCTGTTTTCTGTCTATCAGCACAATCAGGAGGAGGAGAGTGCATCAGCTGCTTGGGCTGGAAACACCACAATCAGTGATCTACCATCTCCATCACCAATCATGATTACTCAGTGAACTTGTCATATGCAGGACGCAGACTCGGAAAAACAAGCCTGAGATGTTTTCACAAAGGCTGACTCATGGAGGGGTGGGTTTGAGTGCTGCAGGTCAACCCAGGTGGTTGCCGAGGGGTACCACCGCGCTGACCATGGTAACGGTAACAGTGTGTCCAGCGTGTGAGGCAAGCTCACCGCCATGATGTCGTAGCATCAGTGTGAGTCCTCCATGAATGACGAACCTGCTGGGTGTGAAATATTCTTCCAAAGCTGAACACGTTTGCACGGCTGCAGTCAGGAAGTCAGCCCGAAGTGGAAACACCTGCATCACATTCAGGTTTCGCTGCGGCGCTCTCTAGCACAGTGAAGCACATTAAGCTGCTGATAATACACAAAGTGAAATCCAACACTGCCGAGCGGAGATAAGCAGCCAGCCATCGACCGTGCGTCTCACACTCTTTCACCAAAGAGCCAATCACAGGCTTTGTTCCTGTTTTTGAACTCATTTCCAGCACAAAGGAAAACACTCTGAAACAAAGTACACAGTGCATTCTGGGTAACGCCACCAGATCTGCATTACCAATAATGAGCGCTGTGCCTAACAGTGGCCTCTAACCTACGCCCGGAGCCAACAAGCGACAGTGACTGACAGCACAGCAAACCCGTCTGTGTGACGGCAGATGCGAGAACACACTCTGCTGTGACTGGATGGTGAGCCAATCTCTTGATGACCGTGTGACTTCCTGTCAGAGTCAGACAGGAAGTCCTTGCTGCAGATAAAGAGGACGAACAGGACCCTGATTACTGTTTGATAAACAAGGGGAGCCTGAGCCATTCCTTATCT